CTAAATGATTAATCAACTAATCATAATGAGATATTTATAACATTTTCTTAAAGAATATAAGAATATCTTCACACGGCCTTTGTTTCCTTCCTTAATTTTACAACCACATCTGTTTGCAGGGGTCTTGTTTGCGCTGAAGATCGTCAATAACCACTTCAACCCCGGTGGTGTGACGTACGTGATGAATATTCGGGTGTCCAATCGCTTTGCTAGCTGGGTGGAGCTGGTGCTCATCTATCTAATCGCTCCTGGGTGAGAGACTGCTCCAGTCCAAGATGATCACCGAGAAAACAAATCGATTTTGAAGGCAGCATTTTTTTTTATCTAAAACTGAGCAGATATTTTATCATCATGGTCTTTTTCCCTGCTGCTCTCTCTCAGGACCTCTCTGGTTGGCCACCTGGCAGGTGTCCTGGTGGGTCTGCTCTACACTGTGGGTCCACTGAAGACCATCATGGAGGCATGTGCAGGTCTGAATGCTGCTTTCTCTGTTTGTGTAGCAAATGAATTTTTCATTCTGCAAACAAATAAAACAAAAATACACAGTCATGATCAGTAAACATCACATTAGCAGTTACAGCATGTTGTATTTGTGTGAGCATGTGCCTGTGTGAAAGAAATCTTTAATACTTAAATATGAATCTGAAAATGCTTTTTTCTGTCTCTCCAATCAGATATGATATCTTCAGATGGAGTTTCTTCACGCCAGCGTTCATACTACAGCTCTTCAGGTAAAACAGCAATCTCCAAAAGTTGATTCTGTTCATCTGGACGAAACGTTTCTCCCACAAAACGCTACATCCAGATGAACAGAATCAACTTTTGGAGATTTACTTTCCTGGATGATTGAGAATGCATCAAGACGTACAACAGCAATGTTATAGAAAACATAAAGGATCCACTGTTTTATAGAATATGCAATAATCCAGTGAGAAAGACTGTTTGTTCAGTTTTCTGGTACAGCTTTTAAAACCTGGGTGCCCACTTTCTGAAAGACGAACCACTTTAGGATCCATGATGAGGTTGCCTCAATTTATCTTCAACACTTTATTTTTGGAGATAAATTATCTGAATTTCAGGAGTGGGACCATGCCTTCAAAGAAGTCCAGACGCTTTTCTTTCCAAGCTCCTTAGATTACTGTGTACTAGTATTCTTATTGTATATATTGTTCCTCTGTTCCTCTTGCTGCGTTGAGCATGTGTATGACAAAATAATTTCCCCTCGGGATAAAATTCTTCTTTTCTTATCTTATCTTTGACGTATCTGAACATTTACAGAGCTCTACCGGCCTCTAGCGAAGAAACGAGCAAACTGCACGCTACTCAACATCACTCACTAGTCATAACATCTTCATATACACATGTTAAATGATTTCGTTCTTGATAACAAGCGCAAATGTTCACACAAATTCCTTTCAACACATCATTAGGAGATAGCGCGAACGCAGTCCCCACTATCAGAAATTATGTAGTCGAGATTCCCACATTTGGGGAAATCGCAGGATGTCAGCTAAGCCAGAGTGCAATGGCTGAGCCTCGGCCTGAGAGAACCACCTTCTTGATCATGGTATCTCTTCTACCAGGTAAGTATGACTTCTCCAACTCACGCATGGGGCAGTCTTTCACACACAAACCCTGCACACTCACGGTGCTCACAATCTCACAAGCAACACAGACACAGTCTGTAGGAAGCTGGGACTACACACTATTTATATATACACATGAAGCCGTTTCCAACAGAACCCCATAAGGTTATTTAGCTTTACAAATACCGGGAAGATTTCCCATCATGCATTGCTGCATCTGCGCAACAAGAGCTAGCTGAAAGATAACTTTTTCATCCATGTAACCTCCTTAAATCCACCAACAGACCACCAGGAAGTTCAGCTAACTCAAAGGTCAAGCACGCTGCTAACCGAGTTTGTCTGATATTCGGGGAAAAGAGGATAAACGCAAACGTTTTCGAGTTGAAGCACAGTCACTTCCGGTCTTTTCGTTAACTGCTGCTAGGCAACCAACAGTTTCCCGCTACAGTCTCGGAGTTTGAACAGCGCTGCTCACGAAAACACGTCCGTGAACATGTCCGAGTGCAACAAACAACCAGAAAACAATCCAAATAAAAACACTCTAAAAATTTACTCATTAACAACGACTGAATTCACTCAGAGCGAATTTTTGCTTTGGCGGGAGTTTATTACCTGCTAAAGATGGCAGGACGTCTCAAATCACGCGGGTCCGGCCCACATACACGTGTTAGTACATGTGCTATAGAGTATAAATATACTATAAATTATGGTTTAGTTATCTGGATGAGCCAAAATCCTGCTTCATAGTGTTGGCCACTGGTAGGAAGGTAGATGAGAGGAATAATCAGGATGAGAGGATTTCTGACCGTTTGGTTTGTGAAAGTGCGTTATGTAGGTTCCAACACTGTCACTGCAGCCTGGCTTTTGATTGAATCTGCTTTATAGACACTCAGTACTTTTATTTTATTATTTTTTTTTATTATTAACTTTCTTTGTTGTAACCTTTTCATTTTTACCCAGCGTTGCAAGATTTAAAAATTAAACTCAAGTTAGAAACTTTAATCTTGTAGTGCACATGTGTGCCTGCAGGCTACAGCGGGACCAGACGAGAATACTTTGAAGAGCCACGACCTGCGGAGGATCACACATCTGATTATTCTGAGAACTACATCTCAGGACTGACGGAGGAGGAGCAGATAGAGCTGGCAATCAGAAACAGTCTGAAACATCGAGGCAAGAGGCAGAAGTGACAGTTTGCTTTCACTGCTAAAACTAATACTTAATTTTATAAAATAAATTAGATACATTTGAGCCAAATTATATTTAAAAATTAAACACTTAGCCACAACTTAATTTTTCAGAACAAACCAGGCGAAGAGAAACTGAACATCACCCAGGAGACTCTGAGGATCTCAGGAGGAGGCGGCTGAGGAGGTTTGAGCAGGAAGTTACCAACCAGAGAAGAAGATTGTAATGACGGATTTTTATTTTCCATTTTTGTTTTTTTTTTTCATTTTCACTGGTTTAACTGGGAAGATGTCTCCCATTACTGTCCCTTGTTGCTGCTGGTCACATAAGAGGATTGAGTCCAGTCTCATGAAGGTGTGGCCTGCAGCGGTCTTCGAACAAAGACTTCCTCCTAGTTTGGACTTCTTGTATTACTTGGTGACTTTGTTTTCTATTGCATGTCACCTTTGCTTTTACTTCCTGTCTTTATTTTCCTGCTGTCTGGTTTTCTGCCAGCATATCGGTTTTATCTGTGGTTAATTGTTTCCACTTCTGTCTTGTTATTCTCGTTATTGCTCCTTGTGTGCCACTGGTTTTCTCACCTTTACCTTTTTGAATTTCACTGTGGGTTTTGCCATTGGTGGTTTTTCATTACTCTGCCAGCTGCTGCAGCTTAGACCTGGGTCCTCTCCACCATGTTTAGGCTACTCAGCGTCATGTAGACCTGCACATCTGAACCCAGTGAGCACAGACCAAGTTCACCATCACTTTAATATGTGCCTTAGATTCTGTGTATGTGGAACGCTCCTTTGTTGCCTTCGGTAAGCCATTCCAACATTTAGCTCCTGTATTGACTAAATGTTGTGCACCTACAGACTGCCCCACACTCCCCTCTAGCGGTGGCCCTTGTGCAACTTCACAATCTGACTTTTGATTAATTAATTCCTTTAAAGGATGTGGAGCAAGTCTATGTAGATCCTTATAAATAAAACAGGCATACTTATTTTTTTTAATTACGAAAACTCAGAAACATGTTTTTCCAGAATTTCTCAGGGATAAAATACCGATGAGTTTTTATCAAAAAATTTAAGTTTTTTTTTGTAATTTCAACTATTTATAACCACATAGTAAAACAATACTCAGTATATGATAAAAGTCTTAAACTGTAGACACATCCTCTCTGCATTGATGGTCTGGAACAATCTGATTTGCTTGAAAATCTAAAGGTTAAATTTTACAAGCTGGATAACTTTTTAGAATCATGTTTAGATGTTAAGTCGGGTCCAAAGTGAGCACATCATATTTATACTAATTTACAGCCTCAAGGTCCTCCCCTTGAATCCTTGACTACTCTCCTTGCCTCCTCTGATTTTGTATTAGTCCCTCCCACCAGAGATGAGGAGGAGGAGGCGAGGGGAAACATCCATCCAAAGGTGTCCTTTCTTAAACCGATGTCAGTAAAATTTGAGATTTGATACACCGCATCATAGTAACGGTTTTATGATCTCAGGTGTGACACTGCAATGTGTTATATTTAGGAACCCTTTTAATTTAAGGATATCACACATTTTCTTGAATTATACACACAGAAATTGTGGAGGGTAGAAAATGTAATAATCTTAACTGAAACATCATCATAACAGATAAAAAGCACTCCCTGTGTGCAGGGCCTCTTTTATAAAAAAAAGAAGACATTTCCAGGAAAGACTCACCTGTGCACCTCTGATTATCACTCCTCCTGCAGCTTCACGATACATGTTAGGATTTGAGACAGCCGTCAGTATGGCTCAGTGAAACACAATGTGTTTAAAGAGGTAAATGCTGAAATTTAAATCACTCTTTTCTTTTGCATTTGCACTTTTATTTATCTTTTTTTACATAAACTTCTGTATTGTGCGTTTTTACATGTACCATATGTATCATATAAGAAGCAAAACTCAATAAATAACTTGTTAAAAATACATATACGACATGTTTGCAGACTGTAAACCAGCTGATCACATTCTAGTGCCGAGCTCTGTGCTGCCGTAGCTCTGCTCTGGCCCTGAAGTGCTCCTCTTCCTCCTGTCTTCAGTCGGCTGCAGCTCTTGAGCATCCACAGGGTTTTCAGAGCAGCCTTCCTCGCAGGTAGCAGCAGGTGAAGACGAGGGGCTGGAATCTGTGGCAGCGGTGGGAGTCGGAACAGCATTGAAGGCGACAAAGCCAATGAGGATGACCACCAGCGAAACAATGTAGAGGCCGGAGAACTGAGCAGGAGCAGAAAGTGAATGTTCAAATTGCATGAAAAAAATGAGTGCAGAAGGAAAACCAGTTCATTGAGTTCAAGTTATGAATGACATTTTACCTGAGCTGGGGTTTGGCCCAACTGCAGACACTATAACAGATTAATGTAGCTCCAAGAGATGCCACAACCCAAGTATCTTAAACCAGCATTCTTTCCAATGACCAGAAGGGGGCGAGTCTGGATCCGAAACAACTTTTTATTTGACTTGGATTTCTGATCCTGAATGTGCAATATGATGTCCGTGTAAAGTCTGACACTGGACATCTGTGTTCACATTTATGAGTTTCTCTGTTTAACGTTTAATTGCAGGATTTAACTTCATGGTAAATAATAAGAACAGGTCTTTTTGGTAAATGACACTTTGAGTCTCACCTGTATAAATAAAGGTTAAATTAAAGAAAAAACAATATGGGAGTTTAGATGTTGACACAAAGAATGTAATTATGCTTATTAATGAGAAAATGTGAGTGTTTTATTAGGAGAATACTGTGCCACCTCTCATGTGGAACTGACTCATTTAAATTCACTGGCAGGTCAAAAGAGACAGATTCATATTCAGCAGATACACATGCACAAACTGCATACATGCATGGAGCTCTGCATGAGAACACACAGCACAGAGTTACATTTTAACTTTTATCATTATTATTCATTAACATTTCTGAGCGTGCATAACACTCAGCAGGTCATTATGACCCAAAGACGGGATGGGAAGAGACACTATCAGTGTTTATATGTGTGTGTGCTGGAAATAAGTCCTGTCATTAACTGACATAAAAGATTCTCATCTGACCCTGACTAGAAAACACATTAAAGCTCTGTTAAAAAGCAAATAAATCATTTTTGTATCTATTCAAAGTTTCACACTCTAAAGATTAAAAATCTAATGTGTGTTCAGTATTCCTATTGTCTGTGTGTTATTAGCATTTTTGAGGACGTGCACATCCCCAGGTGTGTAACTTTACATCACTGTCAATGCAGCCTGCACAGGTATGAATGCTGGAAATGGCACTGACCACTTGCATGTACAGTGTTCTATAGCAGCGGTCCCCAACCTTTTTTGCGCCACGGACCGGTTTATGCCCGACAATATTTTCATGGACCGGCATTTAAGGTGTCGCGGATAAATACAACAA